ATCATAGAGATAGGAGCCCCTAGAGATAGGCGCCCCTAGAGATAGGCGCCCCCTAGACAGAGGCGCCCATAGAGATAGGCACCCCTGGAGATTGGCGCCCATAAAGATAGGAGCCCCTAGAGATAGGCGCCCCTAGAGATAGGCGCCCATAGAGATAGGCGCCCTTAGAGATAGGCGCCCCTAGAGATAGGCGCCCATAGAGATAGGCGCCCATAGAGATAGGCGCCCATAGAGATAGGCGCCCATAGAGATAGGCGCCCATAGAGATAGGCGCCCATAGAGATAGGCGCCCATAGAGATAGGCGCCCATAGAGATAGGCGCCCATAAAGATAGGCGCCCATAGAGATAGGCGCCCATAGAGAAAGGCGCCCATAGAGATAGGCGCCCCTAGAGATAGGCGCCCCTAGAGATAGGCGCCCCTAGAGATAGGCGCCCTTAGAGATAGGCGCCCCTAGAGATAGGCGCCCCTAGAGATAGGCGCCCCTAGAGATAGGCGCCCATAGAGATAGGCGCCCATAGAGATAAGCGCCCATAGAGATAGGCGCCCATAGAGATAGGCGCCCATAGAGATAGGCGCACATAGAGATAGGCGCCCATAGAGATAGGCGCCCATAGAGATAGGCGCCCATAGAGATAGGCGCCCATAGAGATAGGCGCCCATAGAGATAGGCGCCCATAGAGATAGGCGCCCATAGAGATAGGCGCCCATAGAGATAGGCGCCCCTAGAGATAGGCGCCCCTAGAGATAGGCGCCCATAGAGATAGGCGCCCCTAGAGATAGGCGCCCATAGAGATAGGCGCCCATAGAGATAAGCGCCCATAGAGATAGGCGCCCATAGAGATAGGCGCCCATAGAGATAGGCGCCCATAGAGATAGGCGCCCATAGAGATAGGCGCCCATAGAGATAGGCGCCCATAGAGATAGGCGCCCATAGAGATAGGCGCCCATAGTGATAGGCGCCCCTAGAGATAGGCGCACCTAGAGATAGGCGCCCCTAAAGAAAGGCGCCAATAGAGATAGGTGCCCCTAGAGATAGGCGCCCTGCGAGATAGGCGCCCCTATAGATAGGCGCCCCTAGATATAGGCGCCCATAGAGATAGGCGTCCCTAGAGAGAGGCGCCCATAGAGATTGGTGCCCCTAGAGATAGGCACCCCTAGAGATAGGCACCCCTAGAGATAGGCGCCCCTCGAGATAGGCGCCCATAAAGATAGGAGCCCCTAGAGATAGGCGGCCCTAGAGATAGGCGCCCATAGAGATAGGCGCCTCTAGAAATAGGCGCCCCTATCTCTCTAGGGACGCCTATCTCTATGGGCGCCTATCTCTATGGGCGCCTATCTCTATGGGCACCTATCTCTAGGGGCACCTATCTCTAGGGGCACCTATCTCTAGGGGCGCCTTTCTCTATGGGCGCCTATCTCTATGGGCGCCTATCTCTATGGGCGCCTATCTCTATGGGCGCCTATCTCTAGGGGCGCCTATCTCTAGGGGCTAGGGCGCTGTCTCTAGGGGCGCCTATATCTAGGGGCGCCTATCTCTAGGGGCGCCTATCTCTAGGGGCGCCTATCTCTAGGGGCGCCTATCTCTAGGGGCGCCTATCTCTAGGGGCGCCTATCTCTAGGGGCGCCTATCTCTAGGGGCGCCTACCTCTAGGGGCGCCTATCTCTAGGGGCGCCTATCTCTAAGGGCGTCTATCTCTAGGGGCACCTATCTCTAGGGGCGCCTATCTCTATGGGTGCCTATCTCTAGGGGCGCCTATCTCTAGGGGCGCCTGTCTCTAGGGGCGCCTATATCTAGGGGCGCCTATCTCTAGGGGCGCCTATCTCTAGGGGCGCCTATCTCTAGGGGCGCCTATCTCTAGGGGCGCCTATCTCTAGGGGCGCCTACCTCTAGGGGCGCCTATCTCTAGGGGCGCCTATCTCTAAGGGCGCCTATCTCTAGGGGCACCTATCTCTATGGGCGCCTATCTTTATGGGCGCCTATCTCTATGGGCGCTTATCTCTATGGGCGCCTATCTCTATGGGCGCCTATCTCTAGGGGCGCCTATCTCTATGGGCGCCTATCTCTAGGGGCGCCTATCTCTAGGGGCGCCTATCTCTATGGGCGCCTATCTCTATGGGCGCCTATCTCTATGGGCGCCTATCTCTATGGGCGCCTATCTCTAAAGGCGCCTATCTCTATGGGCGCCTATCTCTATGGGCGCCTATTTCTATGGGCGCCTATCTCTATGGGCGCCTATCTCTATGGGCGCCTATCTCTATGGGCGCCTATCTCTATGGGCGCCTATCTCTATGGGCGCTTATCTCTATGGGCGCCTATCTCTATGGGCGCCTATCTCTAGGGGCGCCTATCTCTAGGGGCCCCTATCTCTAGGGGCGCCTATCTCTATAGGCGCCTATCTCTATGGGCGCCTATCTCTATGGGCGCCTATCTCTATGGGCGCCTATCTCTATGGGCGCCTATCTCTATGGGCGCCTATCTCTATGGGCGCCTATCTCTATGGGCGCCTATCTCTATGGGCGCCTATCTCTATGGGCGCCTATCTCTATGGGCGCCTATCTCTATGGGCGCCTATCTCTATGGGCGCCTATCTCTATGGGCGCTTATCTCTATGGGCGCCTATCTCTATGGGCGCCTATCTCTAGGGGCGCCTATCTCTAGGGGCGCCTATCTCTAGGGGCGCCTATCTCTAGGGGCGCCTATCTCTAAGGGCGCCTATCTCTAGGGGCGCCTATCTCTAGGGGCGCCCTCTAGGGGCGCCTATCTCTATGGGCGCCTATCTCTATGGGCGCCTATCTCTATGGGCGCCTATCTCTATGGGCGCCTATCTCTATGGGCGCCTATCTCTATGGGCGCCTATCTCTATGGGCGCCTATCTCTATGGGCGCCTATCTCTATGGGCGCCTATCTCTATGGGTGCCTATCTCTAGGGGCGCCTATCTCTATGGGCACCTATCTCTAGGGGCGCCTATCTCTAAGGGCGCCTATCTCTAGGGGCGCCTATCTCTAGGGGCGCCTATCTCTAGGGGCTCCTATCTTTCTGGGCGCCTATCTCTAGGGGCGCCTATCTCTAGGGGCTCCTATCTCTATGAGCGCCTGTCTCTAGGGGCGCCTATCTCTAGGGGCGCCTATCTCTAGGGGCGCCTATCTCTATGGGCGCCTATCTCTATGGGCGCCTATCTCTATGGGCGCCTATCTCTATGGGCGCCTATCTCTATGGGCGCCTATCTCTATGGGCGCTTATCTCTATGGGCGCCTATCTCTATGGGCGCCTATCTCTAGGGGCGCCTATCTCTAGGGGCGCCTATCTCTAGGGGCGCCTATCTCTAGGGGCGCATATCTCTAAGGGCGCCTATCTCTAGGGGCGCCTATCTCTAGGGGCGCCTATCTCTATGGGCGCCTATCTCTATAGGCGCCTATCTCTATGGGCGCCTATCTCTATGGGCGCCTATCTCTATGGGCGCCTATCTCTATGGGCGCCTATCTCTATGGGCGCCGATCTCTATGGGCGCCTATCTCTATGGGCGCCTATCTCTAGGGGCGCCTATCTCTAAGGGCGCCTATCTCTAGGGGCGCCTATCTCTAGGGGCGCCTATCTCTAGGGGCGCCTATCTCTATGGGCGCCTATCTCTATGGGCGCCTATCTCTATGGGCGCCTATCTCTATGGGCGCCTATCTCTATGGGCGCCTATCTCTAGGGGCGCCTATCTCTAGGGGCGCCTATCTCTAGGGGCGCCTATCTCTAGGGGCGCCTATCTCTAAGGGCGCCTATCTCTAGGGGCACCTATCTCTATGGGCGCCTATCTTTATGGGCGCCTATCTCTATGGGCGCTTATCTCTATGGGCGCCTATCTCTAGGGGCGCCTATCTCTATGGGCGCCTATCTCTAGGGGCGCCTATCTCTAGGGGCGCCTATCTCTATGGGCGCCTATCTCTATGGGCGCCTATCTCTATGGGCGCCTATCTCTATGGGCGCCTATCTCTAAAGGCGCCTATCTCTATGGGCGCCTATCTCTATGGGCGCCTATTTCTATGGGTGCCTATCTCTATGGGCGCCTATCTCTATGGGCGCCTATCTCTATGGGCGCCTATCTCTATGGGCGCCTATCTCTATGGGCGCTTATCTCTATGGGCGCCTATCTCTATGGGCGCCTATCTCTAGGGGCGCCTATCTCTAGGGGCCCCTATCTCTAGGGGCGCCTATCTCTATAGGCGCCTATCTCTATGGGCGCCTATCTCTATGGGCACCTATCTCTATGGGCGCCTATCTCTATGGGCGCCTATCTCTATGGGCGCCTATCTCTATGGGCGCCTATCTCTATGGGCGCCTATCTCTATGGGCGCCTATCTCTATGGGCGCCTATCTCTATGGGCGCCTATCTCTATGGGCGCCTATCTCTATGGGCGCCTATCTCTATGGGCGCTTATCTCTATGGGCGCCTATCTCTATGGGCGCCTATCTCTAGGGGCGCCTATCTCTAGGGGCGCCTATCTCTAGGGGCGCCTATCTCTAGGGGCGCCTATCTCTAAGGGCGCCTATCTCTAGGGGCGCCTATCTCTAGGGGCGCCCTCTAGGGGCGCCTATCTCTATGGGCGCCTATCTCTATGGGCGCCTATCTCTATGGGCGCCTATCTCTATGGGCGCCTATCTCTATGGGCGCCTATCTCTATGGGCGCCTATCTCTATGGGCGCCTATCTCTATGGGCGCCTATCTCTATGGGCGCCTATCTCTATGGGTGCCTATCTCTAGGGGCGCCTATCTCTATGGGCACCTATCTCTAGGGGCGCCTATCTCTAAGGGCGCCTATCTCTAGGGGCGCCTATCTCTAGGGGCGCCTATCTCTAGGGGCTCCTATCTTTCTGGGCGCCTATCTCTAGGGGCGCCTATCTCTAGGGGCTCCTATCTCTATGAGCGCCTGTCTCTAGGGGCGCCTATCTCTAGGGGCGCCTATCTCTAGGGGCGCCTATCTCTAGGGGCGCCTATCTCTATGGGCGCCTATCTCTATGGGCGCCTATCTCTATGGGCGCCTATCTCTATGGGCGCCTATCTCTATGGGCGCTTATCTCTATGGGCGCCTATCTCTATGGGCGCCTATCTCTAGGGGCGCCTATCTCTAGGGGCGCCTATCTCTAGGGGCGCCTATCTCTAGGGGCGCATATCTCTAAGGGCGCCTATCTCTAGGGGCGCCTATCTCTAGGGGCGCCTATCTCTATGGGCGCCTATCTCTATAGGCGCCTATCTCTATGGGCGCCTATCTCTATGGGCGCCTATCTCTATGGGCGCCTATCTCTATGGGCGCCTATCTCTATGGGCGCCGATCTCTATGGGCGCCTATCTCTATGGGCGCCTATCTCTAGGGGCGCCTATCTCTAAGGGCGCCTATCTCTAGGGGCGCCTATCTCTAGGGGCGCCTATCTCTAGGGGCGCCTATCTCTATGGGCGCCTATCTCTATGGGCGCCTATCTCTATGGGCGCCTATCTCTATGGGCGCCTATCTCTATGGGCGCCTATCTCTAGGGGCGCCTATCTCTAGGGGCGCCTATCTCTAGGGGCGCCTATCTCTAGGGGCGCCTATCTCTAAGGGCGCCTATCTCTAGGGGCACCTATCTCTATGGGCGCCTATCTTTATGGGCGCCTATCTCTATGGGCGCTTATCTCTATGGGCGCCTATCTCTATGGGCGCCTATCTCTAGGGGCGCCTATCTCTATGGGCGCCTATCTCTAGGGGCGCCTATCTCTAGGGGCGCCTATCTCTATGGGCGCCTATCTCTATGGGCGCCTATCTCTATGGGCGCCTATCTCTATGGGCGCCTATCTCTAAAGGCGCCTATCTCTATGGGCGCCTATCTCTATGGGCGCCTATCTCTATGGACGCCTATCTCTATGGGCGCCTATCTCTATGGGCGCCTATCTCTATGGGCGCCTATCTCTATGGGCCCCTATCTCTATGGGCGCTTATCTCTATGGGCGCCTATCTCTATGGGCGCCTATCTCTAGGGGCGCCTATCTCTAGGGGCCCCTATCTCTAGGGGTGCCTATCTCTATAGGCGCCTATCTCTATGGGCGCCTATCTCTATGGGCGCCTATCTCTATGGGCGCCTATCTCTATGGGCGCCTATCTCTATGGGCGCCTATCTCTATGGGCGCCTATCTCTATGGGCGCCTATCTCTATGGGCGCCTATCTCTATGGGCGCCTATCTCTATGGGCGCCTATCTCTATGGGCGCCTATCTCTATGGGCGCCTATCTCTATGGGCGCTTATCTCTATGGGCGCCTATCTCTATGGGCGCCTATCTCTAGGGGCGCCTATCTCTAGGGGTGCCTATCTCTAGGGGCGCCTATCTCTAGGGGCGCCTATCTCTAAGGGCGCCTATCTCTAGGGGCGCCTATCTCTAGGGGCTCCTATCTTTCTGGGCGCCTATCTCTAGGGGCGCCTATCTCTAGGGGCTCCTATCTCTATGAGCGCCTGTCTCTAGGGGCGCCTATCTCTAGGGGCGCCTATCTCTAGGGGCGCCTATCTCTATGGGCGCCTATCTCTATGGGCGCCTATCTCTATGGGCGCCTATCTCTATGGGCGCCTATCTCTATGGGCGCCTATCTCTATGGGCGCTTATCTCTATGGGCGCCTATCTCTATGGGGCCTATCTCTAGGGGCGCCTATCTCTAGGGGCGCCTATCTCTAGGGGCGCCTATCTCTAGGGGCGCATATCTCTAAGGGCGCCTATCTCTAGGGGCGCCTATCTCTAGGGGCGCCTATCTCTAGGGGCGCCTATCTCTATAGGCGCCTATCTCTATGGGCGCCTATCTCTATGGGCGCCTATCTCTATGGGCGCCTATCTCTATGGGCGCCTATCTCTATGGGCGCCGATCTCTATGGGCGCCTATCTCTATGGGCGCCTATCTCTAGGGGCGCCTATCTCTAAGGGCGCCTATCTCTAGGGGCGCCTATCTCTAGGGGCGCCTATCTCTAGGGGCGCCTATCTCTATGGGCGCCTATCTCTATGGGCGCCTATCTCTATGGGCGCCTATCTCTATGGGCGCCTATCTCTATGGGCGCCTATCTCTAAGGGCGCCTATCTCTAGGGGCGCCTATCTCTAGGGGCGCCTATCTCTAGGGGCGCCTATCTCTAGGGGCGCCTATCTCTAGGGGCGCCTATCTCTAGGGGCGCCTATCTCTAGGGGCGCCTATCTCTTTGGGCGCCTATCTCTATGGGCGCCTATCTCTATGGGCGCCTATCTCTATGGGCGCCTATCTCTATGGGCGCCTATTCTATGGGCGCCTATCTCTATGGGCGCCTATCTCTATGGGCGCCTATCTCTATGGGCGCCTATCTCTATGGGCGCCTATCTCTATGGGTGCCTATCTCTAGGGGCGCCTATCTCTAAGGGCGCCTATCTCTATGGGCGCCTATCTCTAGGGGCGCCTATCTCTAGGGGCTCCTATCTTTATGGGCGCCTATCTCCAGGGGTGCCTATCTCTATGGGCGCCTCTGTCTAGGGGGCGCCTATCTCTAGGGGCGCCTATCTCTAGGGGCTCCTATCTCTATGAGCGCCTGTCTCTAGGGGCCCCTATCTCTAGGGGCGCCTATCTCTAGGGGCGCCTATCTCTATGGGCGCCTATCTCTATGGGCGCCTATCTCTATGGGCGCCTATCTCTATGGGCGCCTATCTCTATGGGCGCCTATCTCTATGGGCGCTTATCTCTATGGGCGCCTATCTCTATGGGCGCCTATCTCTAGGGGCGCCTATCTCTAGGGGCGCCTATCTCTAGGGGCGCCTATCTCTAGGGGCGCATATCTCTAAGGGCGCCTATCTCTAGGGGCGCCTATCTCTAGGGGCGCCTATCTCTAGGGGCGCCTATCTCTATAGGCGCCTATCTCTATGGGCGCCTATCTCTATGGGCGCCTATCTCTATGGGCGCCTATCTCTATGGGCGCCTATCTCTATGGGCGCCGATCTCTATGGGCGCCTATCTCTATGGGCGCCTATCTCTAGGGGCGCCTATCTCTAAGGGCGCCTATCTCTAGGGGCGCCTATCTCTAGGGGCGCCTATCTCTAGGGGCGCCTATCTCTATGGGCGCCTATCTCTATGGGCGCCTATCTCTATGGGCGCCTATCTCTATGGGCGCCTATCTCTATGGGCGCCTATCTCTAGGGGCGCCTATCTCTAGGGGCGCCTATCTCTAGGGGCGCCTATCTCTAGGGGCGCCTATCTCTAGGGGCGCCTATCTCTAGGGGCGCCTATCTCTAGGGGCGCCTATCTCTAGGGGCGCCTATCTCTATGGGCGCCTATCTCTATGGGCGCCTATCTCTATGGGCGCCTATCTCTATGGGCGCCTATCTCTATGGGCGCCTATTCTATGGGCGCCTATCTCTATGGGCGCCTATCTCTATGGGCGCCTATCTCTATGGGCGCCTATCTCTATGGGCGCCTATCTCTATGGGTGCCTATCTCTAGGGGCGCCTATCTCTAAGGGCGCCTATCTCTATGGGCGCCTATCTCTAGGGGCGCCTATCTCTAGGGGCTCCTATCTTTATGGGCGCCTATCTCCAGGGGTGCCTATCTCTATGGGCGCCTCTGTCTAGGGGGCGCCTATCTCTAGGGGCGCCTATCTCTAGGGGCTCCTATCTCTATGAGCGCCTGTCTCTAGGGGCTCCTATCTCTATGGGCGCCTGTCTCTAGCGGACCCTATAGATAGGCGCCCCTAGAGATAGGCGCCCCTAGAGATAGGCGCCCCTAGAGATAGGCGCCCATAGAGATAGGCGCCTATAGAGATAGGCGCCCATAGAGATAGGCGCCCATAGAGATAGGCGCCCATAGAGATAGGCGCCCATAGAGATAGGCGCCCATAGAGATAGGCGCCCCTAGAGATAGGCGCCCCTAGAGATAGGCGCACCTAGAGATAGGCGCCCCTAAAGAAAGGCGCCAATAGAGATAGGTGCCCCTAGAGATAGGCGCCCTGCGAGATAGGCGCCCCTATAGATAGGCGCCCCTAGATATAGGCGCCCATAGAGATAGGCGTCCCTAGAGAGAGGCGCCCATAGAGATTGGTGCCCCTAGAGATAGGCACCCCTAGAGATAGGCACCCCTAGAGATAGGCGCCCCTCGAGATAGGCGCCCATAAAGATAGGAGCCCCTAGAGATAGGCGGCCCTAGAGATAGGCGCCCATAGAGATAGGCGCCCCTATCTCTCTAGGGACGCCTATCTCTATGGGCGCCTATCTCTATGGGCGCCTATCTCTATGGGCACCTATCTCTAGGGGCACCTATCTCTAGGGGCGCCTATCTCTAGGGGCGCCTTTCTCTATGGGCGCCTATCTCTATGGGCGCCTATCTCTATGGGCGCCTATCTCTATGGGCGCCTATCTCTAGGGGCGCCTATCTCTAGGGGCGCCTGTCTCTAGGGGCGCCTATATCTAGGGGCGCCTATCTCCAGGGGCGCCTATCTCTAGGGGCGCCTATCTCTAGGGGCGCCTATCTCTAGGGGCGCCTATCTCTAGGGGCGCCTATCTCTAGGGGCGCCTATCTCTAGGGGCGCCTACCTCTAGGGGCGCCTATCTCTAGGGGCGCCTATCTCTAAGGGCGCCTATCTCTAGGGGCACCTATCTCTAGGGGCGCCTATCTCTATGGGCGCCTATCTCTAGGGGCACCTATCTCTAGGGGCGCCTATCTCTATGGGCGCCTATCTCTATGGGCGCGTATCTCTATGGGCGCCTATCTCTATGGGCGCTTATCTCTATGGGCGCCTATCTCTATGGGCGCCTATCTCTAGGGGCGCCTATCTCTAGGGGCGCCTATCTCTAGGGGCGCCTATCTCTAGGGGCGCATATCTCTAAGGGCGCCTATCTCTAGGGGCGCCTATCTCTAGGGGCGCCTATCTCTAGGGGCGCCTATCTCTATAGGCGCCTATCTCTATGGGCGCCTATCTCTATGGGCGCCTATCTCTATGGGCGCCTATCTCTATGGGCGCCTATCTCTATGGGCGCCGATCTCTATGGGCGCCTATCTCTATGGGCGCCTATCTCTAGGGGCGCCTATCTCTAAGGGCGCCTATCTCTAGGGGCGCCTATCTCTAGGGGCGCCTATCTCTAGGGGCGCCTATCTCTATGGGCGCCTATCTCTATGGGCGCCTATCTCTATGGGCGCCTATCTCTATGGGCGCCTATCTCTATGGGCGCCTATCTCTAGGGGCGCCTATCTCTAGGGGCGCCTATCTCTAGGGGCGCCTATCTCTAGGGGCGCCTATCTCTAGGGGCGCCTATCTCTAGGGGCGCCTATCTCTAGGGGCGCCTATCTCTATGGGCGCCTATCTCTATGGGCGCCTATCTCTATGGGCGCCTATCTCTATGGGCGCCTATCTCTATGGGCGCCTATTCTATGGGCGCCTATCTCTATGGGCGCCTATCTCTATGGGCGCCTATCTCTATGGGCGCCTATCTCTATGGGCGCCTATCTCTATGGGTGCCTATCTCTAGGGGCGCCTATCTCTAAGGGCGCCTATCTCTATGGGCGCCTATCTCTAGGGGGGCCTATCTCTAGGGGCTCCTATCTTTATGGGCGCCTATCTCCAGGGGTGCCTATCTCTATGGGCGCCTCTGTCTAGGGGGCGCCTATCTCTAGGGGCGCCTATCTCTAGGGGCTCCTATCTCTATGAGCGCCTGTCTCTAGGGGCTCCTATCTCTATGGGCGCCTGTCTCTAGCGGACCCTATAGATAGGCGCCCCTAGAGATAGGCGCCCCTAGAGATAGGCGCCCCTAGAGATAGGCGCCCATAGAGATAGGCGCCTATAGAGATAGGCGCCCATAGAGATAGGCGCCCATAGAGATAGGCGCCCATAGAGATAGGCGCCCATAGAGATAGGCGCCCATAGAGATAGGCGCCCCTAGAGATAGGCGCCCCTAGAGATAGGCGCACCTAGAGATAGGCGCCCCTAAAGAAAGGCGCCAATAGAGATAGGTGCCCCTAGAGATAGGCGCCCTGCGAGATAGGCGCCCCTATAGATAGGCGCCCCTAGATATAGGCGCCCATAGAGATAGGCGTCCCTAGAGAGAGGCGCCCATAGAGATTGGTGCCCCTAGAGATAGGCACCCCTAGAGATAGGCACCCCTAGAGATAGGCGCCCCTCGAGATAGGCGCCCATAAAGATAGGAGCCCCTAGAGATAGGCGGCCCTAGAGATAGGCGCCCATAGAGATAGGCGCCCCTATCTCTCTAGGGACGCCTATCTCTATGGGCGCCTATCTCTATGGGCGCCTATCTCTATGGGCACCTATCTCTAGGGGCACCTATCTCTAGGGGCGCCTATCTCTAGGGGCGCCTTTCTCTATGGGCGCCTATCTCTATGGGCGCCTATCTCTATGGGCGCCTATCTCTATGGGCGCCTATCTCTAGGGGCGCCTATCTCTAGGGGCGCCTGTCTCTAGGGGCGCCTATATCTAGGGGCGCCTATCTCTAGGGGCGCCTATCTCTAGGGGCGCCTATCTCTAGGGGCGCCTATCTCTAGGGGCGCCTATCTCTAGGGGCGCCTATCCTATCTCTAGGGGCGCCTACCTCTAGGGGCGCCTATCTCTAGGGGCGCCTATCTCTAAGGGCGCCTATCTCTAGGGGCACCTATCTCTAGGGGCGCCTATCTCTATGGGCGCCTATCTCTAGGGGCGCCTATCTCTAGGGGCGCCTGTCTCTAGGGGCGCCTATATCTAGGGGCGCCTATCTCTAGGGGCGCCTATCTCTAGGGGCGCCTATCTCTAGGGGCGCCTATCTCTAGGGGCGCCTATCTCTAGGGGCGCCTATCTCTAGGGGCGCCTATCTCTAGGGGCGCCTACCTCTAGGGGCGCCTATCTCTAGGGGCGCCTATCTCTAAGGGCGCCTATCTCTAGGGGCACCTATCTCTATGGGCGCCTATTTTTATGGGCGCCTATCTCTATGGGCGCTTATCTCTATGGGCGCCTATCTCTATGGGCGCCTATCTCTAGGGGCGCCTATCTCTATGGGCGCCTATCTCTAGGGGCGCCTATCTCTAGGGGCGCCTATCTCTATGGGCGCCTATCTCTATGGGCGCCTATCTCTATGGGCGCCTATCTCTATGGGCGCCTATCTCTAAAGGCGCCTATCTCTATGGGCGCCTATCTCTATGGGCGCCTATCTCTATGGGCGCCTATCTCTATGGGCGCCTATCTCTATGGGCGCCTATCTCTATGGGCGCCTATCTCTATGGGCGCCTATCTCTATGGGCGCTTATCTCTATGGGCGCCTATCTCTATGGGCGCCTATCTCTAGGGGCGCCTATCTCTAGGGGCCCCTATCTCTAGGGGCGCCTATCTCTATAGGCGCCTATCTCTATGGGCGCCTATCTCTATGGGCGCCTATCTCTATGGGCGCCTATCTCTATGGGCGCCTATCTCTATGGGCGCCTATCTCTATGGGCGCCTATCTCTATGGGCGCCTATCTCTATGGGCGCCTATCTCTATGGGCGCCTATCTCTATGGGCGCCTATCTCTATGGGCGCCTATCTCTAGGGGGGCCTATCTCTAGGGGCTCCTATCTTTATGGGCGCCTATCTCCAGGGGTGCCTATCTCTATGGGCGCCTCTGTCTAGGGGGCGCCTATCTCTAGGGGCGCCTATCTCTAGGGGCTCCTATCTCTATGAGCGCCTGTCTCTAGGGGCTCCTATCTCTATGGGCGCCTGTCTCTAGCGGACCCTATAGATAGGCGCCCCTAGAGATAGGCGCCCCTAGAGATAGGCGCCCCTAGAGATAGGCGCCCATAGAGATAGGCGCCTATAGAGATAGGCGCCCATAGAGATAGGCGCCCATAGAGATAGGCGCCCATAGAGATAGGCGCCCATAGAGATAGGCGCCCATAGAGATAGGCGCCCCTAGAGATAGGCGCCCCTAGAGATAGGCGCACCTAGAGATAGGCGCCCCTAAAGAAAGGCGCCAATAGAGATAGGTGCCCCTAGAGATAGGCGCCCTGCGAGATAGGCGCCCCTATAGATAGGCGCCCCTAGATATAGGCGCCCATAGAGATAGGCGTCCCTAGAGAGAGGCGCCCATAGAGATTGGTGCCCCTAGAGATAGGCACCCCTAGAGATAGGCACCCCTAGAGATAGGCGCCCCTCGAGATAGGCGCCCATAAAGATAGGAGCCCCTAGAGATAGGCGGCCCTAGAGATAGGCGCCCATAGAGATAGGCGCCCCTATCTCTCTAGGGACGCCTATCTCTATGGGCGCCTATCTCTATGGGCGCCTATCTCTATGGGCACCTATCTCTAGGGGCACCTATCTCTAGGGGCGCCTATCTCTAGGGGCGCCTTTCTCTATGGGCGCCTATCTCTATGGGCGCCTATCTCTATGGGCGCCTATCTCTATGGGCGCTTATCTCTATGGGCGCCTATCTCTATGGGCGCCTATCTCTAGGGGCGCCTATCTCTAGGGGCCCCTATCTCTAGGGGCGCCTATCTCTATAGGCGCCTATCTCTATGGGCGCCTATCTCTATGGGCGCCTATCTCTATGGGCGCCTATCTCTATGGGCGCCTATCTCTATGGGCGCCTATCTCTATGGGCGCCTATCTCTATGGGCGCCTATCTCTATGGGCGCCTATCTCTATGGGCGCCTATCTCTATGGGCGCCTATCTCTATGGGCGCCTATCTCTAGGGGGGCCTATCTCTAGGGGCTCCTATCTTTATGGGCGCCTATCTCCAGGGGTGCCTATCTCTATGGGCGCCTCTGTCTAGGGGGCGCCTATCTCTAGGGGCGCCTATCTCTAGGGGCTCCTATCTCTATGAGCGCCTGTCTCTAGGGGCTCCTATCTCTATGGGCGCCTGTCTCTAGCGGACCCTATAGATAGGCGCCCCTAGAGATAGGCGCCCCTAGAGATAGGCGCCCCTAGAGATAGGCGCCCATAGAGATAGGCGCCTATAGAGATAGGCGCCCATAGAGATAGGCGCCCATAGAGATAGGCGCCCATAGAGATAGGCGCCCATAGAGATAGGCGCCCATAGAGATAGGCGCCCCTAGAGATAGGCGCCCCTAGAGATAGGCGCACCTAGAGATAGGCGCCCCTAAAGAAAGGCGCCAATAGAGATAGGTGCCCCTAGAGATAGGCGCCCTGCGAGATAGGCGCCCCTATAGATAGGCGCCCCTAGATATAGGCGCCCATAGAGATAGGCGTCCCTAGAGAGAGGCGCCCATAGAGATTGGTGCCCCTAGAGATAGGCACCCCTAGAGATAGGCACCCCTAGAGATAGGCGCCCCTCGAGATAGGCGCCCATAAAGATAGGAGCCCCTAGAGATAGGCGGCCCTAGAGATAGGCGCCCATAGAGATAGGCGCCCCTATCTCTCTAGGGACGCCTATCTCTATGGGCGCCTATCTCTATGGGCGCCTATCTCTATGGGCACCTATCTCTAGGGGCACCTATCTCTAGGGGCGCCTATCTCTAGGGGCGCCTTTCTCTATGGGCGCCTATCTCTATGGGCGCCTATCTCTATGGGCGCCTATCTCTATGGGCGCCTATCTCTAGGGGCGCCTATCTCTAGGGGCGCCTGTCTCTAGGGGCGCCTATATCTAGGGGCGCCTATCTCTAGGGGCGCCTATCTCTAGGGGCGCCTATCTCTAGGGGCGCCTATCTCTAGGGGCGCCTATCTCTAGGGGCGCCTATCTCTAGGGGCGCCTATCTCTAGGGGCGCCTACCTCTAGGGGCGCCTATCTCTAGGGGCGCCTATCTCTAAGGGCGCCTATCTCTAGGGGCACCTATCTCTAGGGGCGCCTATCTCTATGGGCGCCTATCTCTAGGGGCGCCTATCTCTAGGGGCGCCTGTCTCTAGGGGCGCCTATATCTAGGGGCGCCTATCTCTAGGGGCGCCTATCTCTAGGGGCGCCTATCTCTAGGGGCGCCTATCTCTAGGGGCGCCTATCTCTAGGGGCGCCTATCTCTAGGGGCGCCTATCTCTAGGGGCGCCTATCTCTAGGGGCGCCTATCTCTAGGGGCGCCTATCTCTAGGGGCGCCTACCTCTAGGGGCGCCTATCTCTAGGGGCGCCTATCTCTAAGGGCGCCTATCTCTAGGGGCACCTATCTCTAGGGGCGCCTATCTCTATGGGCGCCTATCTCTAGGGGCGCCTATCTCTAGGGGCGCCTGTCTCTAGGGGCGCCTATATCTAGGGGCGCCTATCTCTAGGGGCGCCTATCTCTAGGGGCGCCTATCTCTAGGGGCGCCTATCTCTAGGGGCGCCTATCTCTAGGGGCGCCTATCTCTAGGGGCGCCTATCTCTATGGGCGCCTATCTCTATGGGCGCCTATCTCTATGGGCGCCTATCTCTATGGGCGCCTATCTCTATGGGCGCCTATCTCTATGGGCGCCTATCTCTATGGGCGCTTATCTCTATGGGCGCCTATCTCTATGGGCGCCTATCTCTAGGGGCGCCTATCTCTAGGGGCCCCTATCTCTAGGGGCGCCTATCTCTATAGGGCGCCTATCTCTATGGGCGCCTATCTCTATGGGCGCCTATCTCTATGGGCGCCTATCTCTATGGGCGCCTATCTATGGGCGCCTATCTCTATGGGCGCCTATCTCTATGGGCGCCTATCTCTATGGGCGCCTATCTCTATGGGGCGCCTATCTCTATGGGCGCCTATCTCTATGGGCGCCTATCTCTAGGGGGGCCTATCTCTAGGGGCTCCTATCTTTATGGGCGCCTATCTCCAGGGGTGCCTATCTCTATGGGCGCCTCTGTCTAGGGGGCGCCTATCTCTAGGGGCGCCTATCTCTAGGGGCTCCTATCTCTATGAGCGCCTGTCTCTAGGGGCTCCTATCTCTATGGGCGCCTGTCTCTAGCGGACCCTATAGATAGGCGCCCCTAGAGATAGGCGCCCCTAGAGATAGGCGCCCCTAGAGATAGGCGCCCATAGAGATAGGCGCCTATAGAGATAGGCGCCCATAGAGATAGGCGCCCATAGAGATAGGCGCCCATAGAGATAGGCGCCCATAGAGATAGGCGCCCATAGAGATAGGCGCCCCTAGAGATAGGCGCCCCTAGAGATAGGCGCACCTAGAGATAGGCGCCCCTAAAGAAAGGCGCCAATAGAGATAGGTGCCCCTAGAGATAGGCGCCCTGCGAGATAGGCGCCCCTATAGATAGGCGCCCCTAGATATAGGCGCCCATAGAGATAGGCGTCCCTAGAGAGAGGCGCCCATAGAGATTGGTGCCCCTAGAGATAGGCACCCCTAGAGATAGGCACCCCTAGAGATAGGCGCCCCTCGAGATAGGCGCCCATAAAGATAGGAGCCCCTAGAGATAGGCGGCCCTAGAGATAGGCGCCCATAGAGATAGGCGCCCCTATCTCTCTAGGGACGCCTATCTCTATGGGCGCCTATCTCTATGGGCGCCTATCTCTATGGGCACCTATCTCTAGGGGCACCTATCTCTAGGGGCGCCTATCTCTAGGGGCGCCTTTCTCTATGGGCGCCTATCTCTATGGGCGCCTATCTCTATGGGCGCCTATCTCTATGGGCGCTTATCTCTATGGGCGCCTATCTCTATGGGCGCCTATCTCTAGGGGCGCCTATCTCTAGGGGCCCCTATCTCTAGGGGCGCCTATCTCTATAGGCGCCTATCTCTATGGGCGCCTATCTCTATGGGCGCCTATCTCTATGGGCGCCTATCTCTATGGGCGCCTATCTCTATGGGCGCCTATCTCTATGGGCGCCTATCTCTATGGGCGCCTATCTCTATGGGCGCCTATCTCTATGGGCGCCTATCTCTATGGGCGCCTATCTCTATGGGCGCCTATCTCTAGGGGGGCCTATCTCTAGGGGCTCCTATCTTTATGGGCGCCTATCTCCAGGGGTGCCTATCTCTATGGGCGCCTCTGTCTAGGGGGCGCCTATCTCTAGGGGCGCCTATCTCTAGGGGCTCCTATCTCTATGAGCGCCTGTCTCTAGGGGCTCCTATCTCTATGGGCGCCTGTCTCTAGCGGACCCTATAGATAGGCGCCCCTAGAGATAGGCGCCCCTAGAGATAGGCGCCCCTAGAGATAGGCGCCCATAGAGATAGGCGCCTATAGAGATAGGCGCCCATAGAGATAGGCGCCCATAGAGATAGGCGCCCATAGAGATAGGCGCCCATAGAGATAGGCGCCCATAGAGATAGGCGCCCCTAGAGATAGGCGCCCCTAGAGATAGGCGCACCTAGAGATAGGCGCCCCTAAAGAAAGGCGCCAATAGAGATAGGTGCCCCTAGAGATAGGCGCCCTGCGAGATAGGCGCCCCTATAGATAGGCGCCCCTAGATATAGGCGCCCATAGAGATAGGCGTCCCTAGAGAGAGGCGCCCATAGAGATTGGTGCCCCTAGAGATAGGCACCCCTAGAGATAGGCACCCCTAGAGATAGGCGCCCCTCGAGATAGGCGCCCATAAAGATAGGAGCCCCTAGAGATAGGCGGCCCTAGAGATAGGCGCCCATAGAGATAGGCGCCCCTATCTCTCTAGGGACGCCTATCTCTATGGGCGCCTATCTCTATGGGCGCCTATCTCTATGGGCACCTATCTCTAGGGGCACCTATCTCTAGGGGCGCCTATCTCTAGGGGCGCCTTTCTCTATGGGCGCCTATCTCTATGGGCGCCTATCTCTATGGGCGCCTATCTCTATGGGCGCTTATCTCTATGGGCGCCTATCTCTATGGGCGCCTATCTCTAGGGGCGCCTATCTCTAGGGGCCCCTATCTCTAGGGGCGCCTATCTCTATAGGCGCCTATCTCTATGGGCGCCTATCTCTATGGGCGCCTATCTCTATGGGCGCCTATCTCTATGGGCGCCTATCTCTATGGGCGCCTATCTCTATGGGCGCCTATCTCTATGGGCGCCTATCTCTATGGGCGCCTATCTCTATGGGCGCCTATCTCTATGGGCGCCTATCTCTATGGGCGCCTATCTCTAGGGGGGCCTATCTCTAGGGGCTCCTATCTTTATGGGCGCCTATCTCCAGGGGTGCCTATCTCTATGGGCGCCTCTGTCTAGGGGGCGCCTATCTCTAGGGGCGCCTATCTCTAGGGGCTCCTATCTCTATGAGCGCCTGTCTCTAGGGGCTCCTATCTCTATGGGCGCCTGTCTCTAGCGGACCCTATAGATAGGCGCCCCTAGAGATAGGCGCCCCTAGAGATAGGCGCCCCTAGAGATAGGCGCCCATAGAGATAGGCGCCTATAGAGATAGGCGCCCATAGAGATAGGCGCCCATAGAGATAGGCGCCCATAGAGATAGGCGCCCATAGAGATAGGCGCCCATAGAGATAGGCGCCCCTAGAGATAGGCGCCCCTAGAGATAGGCGCACCTAGAGATAGGCGCCCCTAAAGAAAGGCGCCAATAGAGATAGGTGCCCCTAGAGATAGGCGCCCTGCGAGATAGGCGCCCCTATAGATAGGCGCCCCTAGATATAGGCGCCCATAGAGATAGGCGTCCCTAGAGAGAGGCGCCCATAGAGATTGGTGCCCCTAGAGATAGGCACCCCTAGAGATAGGCACCCCTAGAGATAGGCGCCCCTCGAGATAGGCGCCCATAAAGATAGGAGCCCCTAGAGATAGGCGGCCCTAGAGATAGGCGCCCATAGAGATAGGCGCCCCTATCTCTCTAGGGACGCCTATCTCTATGGGCGCCTATCT